ATAAATATACATATGTATATATTTATTTAAGTAATTCAGTATGTTTACATGTAGACTTATAAGCATATTCTAGTTAACCAGGAATGAGGGAGACTATGCCACCTATGTTTCTTCGGCTCTGATTTACTTCACTTAATATAATTTTTCCAGGTATTTCCATTTCCTTATGAATGGCACAATATCATTCTTTTTGGTGGATGATTAGAATTCTGCTGTGTATATAAACCACATTTTCATGGTCAGTTTGTCTGCTGAGGGGGATCGAGGTAGATTCCATATTTTGCCTATGGTAATCAATATTTTAATGAACAGTTGGGCTGGTAGCTGTAAAGGGGCATTGTTTGTGTCCTATTGAATAAATGCCGAGGGGTGGGATTGCTGGGTCTTTGGGTAGCTCTATGTTTAATCTTTTATGGAACCTCCATATTGCTTTTTGAATGCATACTTGTACACATACACATACACACACATGATGATTTTGCAAAGTGTACAGTCACCCAATTTTTCTTTGCTGAAAGCTATACAAAGAAAGTACTTATTATGCATTTGCTAATGTTCTTCATCATAGACAAACCATTCAGAATATTTCCATATGTTTGACAGATTTGTCATAGGCAATGGTTGAAATGTTTTTCCAAGACAGAAATATCTTCATGTGTTACAGTACTTGCATATATAAATGAGTGATTTTAAGGACAAAGCCATTAAAAAAAGAATAATTTACTTGATGATAATCATCAATGCCTCCTTCTTATAACAGAAAAAATCATAAATGGGAATATATATTAGAAATGAATAATACTCATCAGTACAGTGTATGGTGTATTAAACATGTAAATATTATACCTTTTCTCTTTGTATAGATACAGAAGGTAAGGGAAGTACACTGTGTGTATATATAGAAATATCACAATGGTACCTCCAGATAATAGCAATGAATTATTAACAATAAATTTATGAATAAAATTAATATTCTACTTAGTTTCTATCCCATTTGGATTTTATTGCTTTTCAGAAAATACGGGGTAACTTTGTTGAAAACATTGGATATACATATGTGATTAAAGTCCTTTGAGTCATTAGCATATGCTTAAAAAGTGAATGGCAGGAATGTGAAATAAGTCCTGCCCTGGGGTTGGTACCAGTGGAAGGTGGGAAGGTGAATGGAAAGTGGGTAGTGTTAATATGGTCATAATTATGTATATACAAATTAAATAATGATGCTCGTTACTGTAAATTGGAAGGGAGAATGAAGGAAGAATAAAAGCGGGAGTGGAGGGGCTGGGAAGGTGGCTCAGTGGTAGAGCGCTTGCCTTGCATGCCTGAGACCCTGGGTTCGATTCCTCAGCACCACATAAGCAAAAAAAAAAAAAAAAAGCCAGAAGTGGCGCTGTGGCTCAAGTGGTAGAGCACTAGCCTTGAGCTGAAGAGCTGAGGGACAGTGCCCAGGCCCAGAGTTCAGGCCCCACAACCGGACCCCCCCCCCAAAAAAAAAGCGGGAGTGGATTCATCAAGGAAATTTGTATAAATATACGAACATGTCAAAGTGAAAATTCCCTTGTACAATTAACTGATGCTAATAAAAATATGGTTAAATATTAATATGAATTAAAAGTCATTTTTCCACTTTTAATGGTGTGAGCCACCCTCACTGTGCCTGACTCTTATTTTTTTTATTTCCAGTGCTGAGCTATGACCTTAGACCCCTGCACATGTTCAACTGGCAGTCTACCATTGAGCCATGTCCCTAGCTCCTAAAATACTTTAAAATGTCATAATGAATTATATATTTTGAAATGCATACTTATTTTCATATATACATCAGGTTCTTTTTAATAATTACTCTCATGCTGGTAGGTGAATGCCTACTTTGCTTTTTAAGTATGAAAATTCCATAATGAATAGTCCTGTCTATATTACTTACTTGCTGGTTCATTAATAGGTATAGACATGTAAAATCTTTATGGTATTAATTTGTGCATTGCTTTCCAGACAGGTGTGTCAGCTTGTAGGCAGTCAGCTACTATTTCAATTCACCCTTCTCAAATTCTAAATTATCAAACTTCTTATTTTTTAATTAGACACCCATATTACTTGACAATGTAAGGTATCTGGAACTCACTAGTCTGAAATGACTAGCGATTCAACAAGACTGTGTTTCAAAGCCAGCCTAGGTGGGAAAGTCCGTAAAACTCTTATCTGCAATAAATTACCCTCCCCAAAAAGTTGGAAGTGGACCTGTGGCTCAATCAGTAGAGCAGTAGCCTTGAGCAAAAAAGGTCAGGGAGAGCATACAGGATATGAGTTCAAATTCCAGGAGCAGCAAAATAAATGTACAACTTTCTTGGAGTATTTTGCAATTATGAGTACAGTTGGTTAGAATATTTTCAGGACAAGCAGGGAATATTTCTTTCTGTGAAACATATTTATGGATTTTGTTATTATATAATATGTATACTTATACTGATCAAATGTAGTTAATAAGTTTATCTGGCTTTTCTACCATTAATCATGTTTGTGTGTCTAGAATTGAATACTCTTCCAGTGTTTTTAAATAAAAACTAAATCTTTTGTGGCATTTTGGAACTATAACTTGAACCATGACTCTAAGGCCCGCTCATTTTCCTTTGCTTTTCAGATAGCTTGTCACACTAATTCCTAAGCTGCCCTTGGGACATGATTTTTCAACCTGTATACAAGTAAGACTAACTTGTTTGTTGATATGGGGTTGGATCTTGATACTTTTTGTCTGGATTGACACATTTTGATTTTACCCATTATAGTCTCCCAATTAACTGAGAGTGCATGTGTGCACTGTTGTGCTCTAATAGTTATTTTCTTTCTTTCTGTTCTCTCTCTTTCTTTCTTTCTTTTCTTTCCTTTCTTTCTTCCTTTTTTCTTTCTTCCTTTCTTTCCTTCCTTTCTTTCCAGATAATATAGATTAGATTGGTTTCTTAATTTTTTTTAGCAAATATATTATTGGTTTATAAAGATGCTTTAGTATTTAATTTTTATTTTCAAACTTTGATGAATTTATGTGTTTTTTTAAGTAGGAATTTATATAGGCCCTCACACATGGTAGCCATTCATTCTACTATTTAGGTCGAACATCCAGCCATTTTGTTTATAGTTTATTCTATTTTATTTGTTTAAGTATTTTTATGGTTCTAGGATTTGAATACAGGGTTTGGTAGGCAGGAATTTTGTCACTTGAGTCATGACTCCAAGCCCTGCCATTTGGTGCTAGCTTTGGAAATGGATTGTAGCAATTTTTTTTTTTTTTTTTGCAAATTTAAACAAAATGGGTCAGTTGGTGGTGGCTCACGCCTGTAATCTTAGCTACTCAGGAAGCTAAGATCTGAAGATCATGTTTCAAAGGTGAAACTTTTTTTTTGTGAAAATACTGTACAGAGGGGTTACAATTACATGGGCAAGATAATGAGTATATTTATTATCAAGCATTGTAGCCTCCTCCTTTGTATCCCCTTCCCATCTCTTCCCTTCTTCCCTCCTGCCCCCTCCCCAATTCTCCCCCCCTCGCACCAAAGTCTGTAATAAACCATCAGAATACTGGAAGTGGCGTTGTGGCTCAAGTGGTAGAGCGCTAGCCTTGAGCTGAAGAGCTGAGGGAGAAGGCCCAGGCCCGGAGTTCAAGCCCCATGATCGATTTAAAAAAAAGGAAAATTTAGACAAAATAGACAATTTCAAAGTAAAATCTTGGGCAGTCTTGTAGAATCAGAGACAGAAAAATTTGAAATGTGAATTTGTATATGATATTGTATTACTGATTGAAAGATTCTTACAAATTAAAGTCTCTTATGATTTCAGTAGTGATTTTTTTTTACCTAGTTAGAGTAGAAAAATGAGAAACTTGTGCTACAATAGTCTGTGTTTAGTGAAGATAAATGCTACTGTATATTATGAATAGAATTGCAAATAACAGGAAATATATTGGTAGATAATTTGTAGTGATAAATGAAGTGATAGTGATTTGTGTCTTTTATTCCAGATTTGTAAGAGTAGTTTTCTTTTAGCAAGACATCTGAGTATAATTGGTACTATTAGCAAAGTTAAAAAAAAAAATTCAGGCTCATCAGTGGTGGCTGATGTTCATAATCCTGAGTTTTCAGAAGGCTGAGATGTTAGGATCATGCTTCAAAGCCAGGCCTGGAAGGAAAGTGTGAGCCTGTTATGTGGAATAATGGCCCACAGGCACACGTTTCAAAAAAGTTACATGAAAAAAAAAGGAAGTCGAGGTATGTGTCACGTGGCAGAGTGTCAGCCTTCACCAATACTCCTGTAATCCTACTTAAGATGGTGAAACTTGAGGATTATTTTGGTTCATCGCCAGCCTGAGCAAGAATGTTTGAAAGAGTCGCATCTCCAATTAGACTCCAAGAGCGTTGGAGAGGAGATGTTGGTCAAGTGGTAGAGGTGTAGCCTTAAACACCAGAACTCAGGAACAGCTTCCTGGATTTGAGCTCAAGTTCCCCCAAAGAAGTCAATAACATGAAGTTTCAGGAAGAAATATATTTTTGAGCAGTTTCCCTGCAATTGGCCAAGAAACTGCATTGGCCTCCATAAAATGATGGGTTCGCCACACGACTGCTGCCGCAGCCTGTCCTGGAAGACCTCGAAAGCGACCAGGGTCGGAGCTTTCCAAGAGAGGAACCATTTAAGCCTTTAAGGAAGTGGGAGGGGCTCCAACTTAGATCCCCTTTGACCCCACCCATGCATTTCCGCCTCAGAAGAACCGGAAGCCTGAAGAGTGGTGCCCCGCCTCCGCTGTGGCGTCAGAGAGGTGTGGACTCCGGGAAGAGTTGAGGTAAGAGATTCAGATAGACGGAGGTAGGTCTCCTAGCTCACTAGATAGTTCGAGAGGTAGAGAAATAGATGAGTAGAGAGCAAGTCCCCTGTGAATGTCGAACTTCGTTTGTTTTTACCCCGTTTCCATAACGGGCGTCAAGTGGCTTGGCCCCTCCCCCACCCAGCCCGTCACAATGGTCCGAGCGCGTGACCTGACGAGACTTGACTGGAGGAGACCTGCTGTCGTACCCGTTCGGAAGTCTGTGGATGGGTAGAGGAGGCCCAAGTAAACGACCCCTGCCTTTTTTTGGTTGTTGTAGTTTTTGTTCATTTTTCTTTTTTAAGTCTGCAGCCCTGTAGGGCTTTGAGTGGCGACAGCGCCGCCGCCCCTCTCCCGCTCTTTTCAACTTCCAGTCAACATGGAAACCAGATATTGGCTCTGAAGCACGCGGAAGTGAGAGGCCTGGGATTCTTTGAAGTGTTGAAGAAATAGCTCCATACAAAGTCCCCACAGAACTAATTACTACCCTCTTCCATAGTCCCGCATCCTTATGCCCTTCTACCCCCCCCCCAAACTCTGCCCCACTGCCTCCCCCCAACCTCACCACCACCCTTTCTGGCTTTTCCAACAGGAAACTGGATATCAGAGAATTACGCGGCTTTCTGAGGAGTCACAGTGACATCTGAGGTTGGATACAGGAACCCAAACACATAGAGGATACCCCAAATATTCCAGCCCTGCCCCTTTTTTCAGCTCTTGACTATACGTGCATCTAGTAAGACAAGGGCCCCTATCCTTTTATCACCAGCTTCCTTCGGCTTCATGGGGTAATAGGCTTAGTATAACACGGGAACCTCTTGATAGTGATAAAGAAGACACTCTAGAAGCTGCAAGTCAATGTTAAGACCCCTAGCTCTGTGGAAGGAACTCCCACTTCATCTTCACTTTTGTCTCCCACGTCTCAAGGAAGTGAACCCTTTTGAGTGCCAGCAGCCATCAACACAACCACAGCAGAGAAAGGAACCTGATATCTGCAGGACTAAAGGTGAAAGAGAAATATATAACCCTCACTCAAGCACACACCACCCTCAATATGACATCTCTTTCAGCTGTGGGAAAACCTGGGTGCTCTGGATAGATTAGCCTCACCTTCATTATTCTTTTACTGTCTTTCAGAAAAAGGTGTGGCTTAAGAAAGGTGACCTCATATCATCAAAGACAGAGGTCTAGATCTGGTCATGTATTAGTCCTTCTATTCACATGACCCATGGTAAATCGTCCCCAGGGAGATTATGTGTATCAGGGCCCCCCATTTCTATTTCTTGTACCTCACAGCTCTTGTTCTAAAAGTTTGTCTCAAGCCAACACAGGGATTATAATCAGTCCATTCCAGGTGAAACTTGTGGGCCCAGTGCAAGCACACAGAAGTATCTACACCAGAACAGTAGGAAACTCACAGTGTAGTCCACTCATTGTAAAGGGTCCAGTATTTCCTTGTAGTGTATAGCTTGATGGAAAGCTGCCTCCATGTCTTTGATCTCCAGGAGCCAGGATGTAAAAGTCTTGATCTGAGGCAGTTTTCTCAGATCACACAACAGATAAGGCCCAAGAAAGTCAGGAATCAAGGTTAACTGTATGTCCGGAATGTGTACCAAGAGCCCCACCTACTATAAAACTCTAGAAATCCAAATTGTCATGTATTTGCTGACAAGTATTTCCTTGGAAATTTGCACAGAAATAAAATAAGTAAATTCTTGCCCTCCTTTATTGCTGTCATCTGTACCAACTTGGAATCACTTGGCTTTGAAAATATAGACAAATGTAGAAGAAATTACATTTCGATTAATTACATGTGCTAACATATTTAAGAAGGCTTTTAAGTCACTATTGTGTTTAATTCTTGAAATGGACTACTGGTACCTCCAGAGCCTTACCTCTGTGAGCCACCTATACCCTGAGGAGATCACAATTCACATCCTTTAAATTCTCCACGGAAAAGCCTACCCGTAAGATAGGGACCTGGTAGCCTGAGACCACCATCCAAAAGGAGATTTATAATAACTCTCTGTGAGACATATCAAACACATGATTCTCAACCAACAACACTCATATGCTCCTTCTCTTTCCCAGGCCTGTGAATCTCCGGCAGGAAGTTCCTATGCCCTGTCCTGTCCAGTCATGATGCCTTATAAGCAGAACAAGCAGCATTGCAAACCTGAAGAGGGCTCTCCCATCCAAGAAGAGGCACTAGGTTCACAACCTGGGCTGATCCCCAGGGCTGAGGAAGCCACTACCTCAGCCTCCTCTTCTGCCACCACCTCTATTGCTCTGATCCACACCACCTCAAGGGAAGAACCAGCTGCAGTGGAGGAAAATGTCCCTATTGATCCTCAGGGAGCATCTGTTCCTCCTGTGGCCTTGGTTCCCACTTCTCCGAGTCAGATAGATCAGGGCTCCAGCCAAGGGCAACGAGATCAGGGCTCCTACCAAGGAGAGGAAGATCCTGGTTCTGGCCAAGGGCAGCAAGATCAGGGCTTGAGTCAAGTTGAGCAAGATCACAGCTCCAGCCAAGCTGAGCAAAATCCAGTCTCTTTCCAAAGGGAGCAAGATCAGGGTTCCTACCCACAGGAGCAAGATCAGGGCTCCTGCCCACAGGAGCAAGATCAGGGCTCCGGCCAAGTTGAGCAAAGTCCAGTCTCTTGCCAAAGGGAGCAAGATCAGGGTTCCCGCCCACAGGAGCAAGAACAGGGCTCCCGTCAAGAGGAGCCAGATCGAGTTCCCCCTCTCAGTCCTATTGATTATGTGTCCATATTGCGGAATGCACAATCCCTGGTGCCTTTCTTGGTCCTTAAGTATAGATTGAGAGAGTCAACAACCAAGGCAGAAATGTTAAATATGATTGTAAGTCACAGGGAGCACTTTTTTGAAATCTTTTCTAGGGCATCTGAGTATATGCAGCTGGTCTTTGGTATTGAAGTGGTTGAAATTGACCCCTCTGACCACTGCTATTTCCTTACTCCTGCAGCAGGGCTAACTTACGATGGGATGTTGCATGATGTTGTAGGCATGCCCAAGACAGGCCTCCTGTTAATCATTCTGGGTATAATTTTCATGGAAAACAACTGTGCCTCTGAACGGGCAGTCTGGGATACGCTGAGTGTAATGGGGGTATATCCTGAGATAGAGCATTATATCTATGGACAACCTAGGAAGCTGGTCATTGAAAATTTTGTGCAGGAGCAATACCTGGAGTACCAGAGGGTACCCAACACTGATCCTGTCTGCTATCAGTTTGTATGGGGCCCAAGAGCCCATGCTGAAACCACTAAGATGAGAGTCCTGAAACACTGGGTAAAGTTTAGTGGGAATGATCTCACTGCCTATCCAAACCTCTGTGAACAGGCTTTGGGAGACGAACGAAATGCCCGAGCATGAAGCATAATCAGCTCCATGAGTGGAAGGTTTGAGGTAGTTTGGCTCAACCATCCATAAACATCACAACAGTCATACATTTGTTCTTGTTAATATATTTAGGGGCAAGTTTTATTAATTGTTAACACAGAGAAATCCATTTTAAAACAAGTCAATATGGCACTGAAGAGTATTGTGTGAATTGTGCGCAGAAACACCAAGTAAATTCTTGCATTCCTTTATTGTTATCATCCTTACTCCATTAAATATGTCTGTAGCAACTTGATTTATTTGGCTCTGAAAATTTAGATGAATGTAGAGGAAATTATATGGGGATTAATTACGTGTTACTATATTAAAGAAGGCTTTTTTTACCTTACTATTGCTTTTAATTCTTCAAAATGGATTTGAGTATCTTACTTTAACTGGGTTAGATAACCATTAAGATTTCAGTTTTGTTTGCATGTGATAACTAATTAAGGACTTAAGCATTTTCTCACAATGCATTATTGAAATTTCAGAGATCTCTAAACTGCTATAATATAGTAATCAGACTATATTAACCTCTCTCATTGTCTCCCCCCCCCCCCCACACACACATCTACCCTTCCCAAGCACCAGACTAGTGACATTCACTTCCTTGTGAAACTGGGACCTGTGGCTAGAGAAAGGTGCTTTAGCTTTAGCTAGTGAAGTTTCTCCTTTGTAAATTGGCAAGGTATTGCATCTGGGAGCTCTGAATATTTCACCACAGGATTCCCTACACTCAACCAGTTTATCAATTAGTAGGCTGCCTCTTAGAATTCCAAGGTTGTTAATGTACTGCAGTGTTATCTACATAGTAGTAAAATTATTTAAGAGTCGTGCTTCCTCTTTGGAAACAAATTCCACAAAATGAAAAATGTATATATAACCATGTTTATTTACAATTATCCCCTGTCTACTGATCTAATCAGCCTATGGATTAATGTCAGCATATGGCCAAATTCTTTCATAATAGAAAATACCAGAAGCATTATACATTGCTCTTAATTCCTCTCCTCTCAGTAATTTCTCTTCATTTTAATTCTTTCAGTAAGTGTCCCTCTAAAGTACTTTCAGTTTCTAAGCAAATGCATATTTATTGTTGGGTGTATTTGGTGTGCAAATCAATCCCTTACAAAGCTTAGCAGAAATGTCGCTAAATTTAATTTCTCTTGGGAGGAGAGCCGAGTGGAGAACTTGAGAATATATTTATATTTGCAATTTCAATTTACCTTTGCTCTTGGAACTTAGCTGTTTAATGCCTCTTATTTATAAAGGATCTCAGGAACTACACAGTAAATGAGTTTAATGTGTGGCTGAACTTGTCAGACTAAAGAGAAAACATTTCATAGAGTCTTAACTAACAGATTGTTGAATTCATGCATGCAATCCAACAATCTCACTTTATTATTTAGGGAACATAAATGTCAAATACAAAGAAAGTTTGTCAGTAGCATACTGAAAAATAGTGTTCAAAATTAATGAAGATTCTCCCCTTTGGAAAATTAGGATTGTCTAAAGATCTTGGGCTGATTATCTTTAGGCTACTTACGGATCATATTAATGGTATAAAATGCTGCTAAACAACTATGGTTCAGGCATTTTTAAGCATTCACACAAATGAAAACACTTCTTTACTATAGCCCCATGAAAAACATCACCTCCACTTTGCAAATGAACAAATAGAGGAATGTAGAGGTTATAGGATTTGATCCTGTTGATCCAGATGCAAGTAAATTCAGAGTTTTTGCAATTTAGGTATTCCATTTCCACAATCCAGGATCAAGGGCTAGAGAAAGCCTTGTAGATCTGGGAGTGCTAGCAGAGACACAAAAACTTAAAGCAACCTGCAGAGAATAAAGAAAAGGCTGCTAGGGGAAGAAGCAGAGAATGATTGGATAGCCACCATAGATAAAAGGGAGAATTGAGAAAGTAGACAAGAACTACTTCCTTGAAGACAGACTAAAACTGAGCACAACATACATTAATCGTTAATTTTTTTAGATTATTTTTTCATTTTAATTTTATTGTAAAGACACTGTACAGAGGGGTTACAGTTACATGAGTAAGGTAATGAGTAAATTTCTTGTCGATCATTATTACCCCGTTCCTTCCTTGTTGTCCCGCTATCCCTTCCCTCCCCCACTCCCACACTTCACCTCACCCCCTGATCCCCCTGACATTATTAATATCTTGGTGCCCAGTGTCATGAGTGTAATCCTACCCCTAGAATTTCTTCTGGCACATGTTCCTTTTCTCACACAGGGCATGTTATCTGCATCTTTTCTGGGTTAGTGCTTCATGGTAATATTTGGTCTATCTTGGAGTTCCCCAATGCTTCTACATCTCTCAGGTCATGTATGCATTACCACATCAGGAAGTCTCTGTAAGGGCCTGGACCTGCCAGAAATTTGGCCTGATTTCTTCAGTTTTCCTTTGAATTTACAGTGGATAGCACCTTAACCTCATAACGATAGCAACCTGAACAGCATCTTATAAATGCCATAAAATACTATGTTAAAAAAACAAACAAACTAGGGACTACACTGACAACACATTCTTGGTCTACCTGAAAATGCTCTCTGAAATAATTTTACATGAGGACTTTGGGCCTGTGATAGTAGAGAGTCTCATATCGATTTCTAGAAATTTTATATAAATTTCTAAAGCTTTTCTTTTCTTCCCAGTTGTGGGACTTTAACTCAGACCCTGGGTGCTATCCCTGAGCCTCTTTGTGTTCAAGGCTGACACTGTACCACTTGAGCTACAGCACCACTTCCAATTTTGTGTGATTAATTAGTGATAAGAGTCTCATGAGGACTCTTCTGCTCAGGCTGGCTTTGAACTGCAATCCTCAGATCTCAGCCTCCTGAGTAGCTAGGATTATAGGAGTGAGCCACTGGCACCTGGCTTCTAATACTCTTTTTAAAAATTAACATACAGCCTTCCATGACGCTCTAAGCCAAGGAGATAATGCAAATTCTTTATAATTATGGCACAATTTCCAACTGGGTTCTCAGCTAGTCCCCTAGTTTATTTGTACCTTATCAGAATCACCAGAAATGTTCTGCTCAATGCCTTTTAGCCTATTTCTATCCTGCTTTGTAAAAAAATCTTCCACCTTCTTCATATCATGCAGTACAATCACACTTCCACATTTTCAGATGCTCAAAAGTGCATTTCTAAACATTAACTTGTTCTATTCCTCTTTTCTAATTGTTTTGTGCAATACTTATTTTGCTACTCAGAACTTCCACGAGGTGGGTCCTCTACTACTTGAGATATATATCCTATCTTTTTGGTCTAATTATTTTTGAGATAACATCTCATGTTTTGCCCAGCCAGCCTGGTCAGTGATACACCTACTTATGCTTTCTTCACTAATGGAAAATACAGGCATGAACCACCATGTCCTACTTTTTCTGTCAAAATGAGATCTCATAAAATTTTTGCCACAAGCTGGTTTAGAAGTAAAATCACAGTGATCTTAGTCTCCCATGGAGCTTTACTTAGCGGAGATGACTGATGTTCACCACTGTGCTCAGCTGTGATTTTTTTTTCCACCTAGGCTCCCATTGAGGTGCGATCTTCGAGGTGTCAGCCTTCTGAGTAGCTAGGATTACAGCTAGTGATACTACTCTCAAGGCCTGCAATTTGCCTTGAGCCCAGCATCCAGTGGGTTCTCTGGCTTATCAATCATAAAGCTTTCTCTTTTCCTCCTAGACCTCTACTTTAAAATTCCCTTTGGTGAGTGAATGGCAAACATCTAACACCGGATGCTCTTCAGGTCCCTATATTCTTTTGTCTTTCAGTCTGGATCTTTATTACAGCCGATTCATTTACTGCTCGTGTAGGGAACCAGAGGCTGTGGAGTGAGAAGTGGCTTCTCTCATTCACAGCTTGGTGAGGCTTCTAACATACCAGTTTAGCCAAATAATTTACTGAGAATTGGTTACATTTGTTTCCCAGGCTTATATTTGATGGGCAGTGGCCTTCAAAGGGGAAATACTTTGCCATAAGGAAGCTCACAAGCTTCATATGGATTCCTCCACTCTTCAGAAGAGGACTTCATCAGCCTGGCTCATTGTAAGTTTTCTCTGAGGAAGAAATGTTTACATCTGTGAAATGGACTGTTCTGTGAGCTATACTACAGGCTTAAAAATTGAGCGTCTGTGCCCACTTGATTTTTGATTTTTTGCTTTGGTGAGGTAGTATGGCACAGATGCTGGTCAACCTAGACAGGGCCTCCTGATCCGTGTTTATTTAGCCCTTTGTGGTAATATTTTGTTTATAGGCAAAGCAAAAGAGAAAAAACAAAGAATAAGAAACCAGTCTCCAAGCTGGGATGGTCGTGGAATAGAACAGATCCATCCAGGGCTTTGCCTCCCTTCAAGCAAGGTTTTGTCTTTGTTTCTTTTAGAGATTTAGTGCCCACTATATTTTATATTCTCTAGCTACTATCTATATTTCTACTGATGTCTTACTACACCAGCTTACTAATTTGTCAATTTTTCATTGCAGCGACATGCTTGATATTTTATTTCTGGTTTCTGGAAAGATGAGGAAGTATGGCTGTTAGCTATCTGTCATCTTGACTCCCTTATTTTTGTTTAGATGTGTCTGTGCTGATCCTAGGGCTTGAACTCTAGGTGTTTCTGAAACTTTGTCCTCAAAGCTAGCAGTCTACCACTTGAGCCACAGCTCCACATCCAGCCTTTTTGTGTGTGTGGCTAAATGGAGTTGAAAGTTTCAAATAAGGGAAACCATGGGACCTATGTTTCTTTGGGCCTGGCTTACTTCACTTAATATAATTTTTTCCAAGTCTTTCCATTTCCTAACAAATGGGGCAATGTCATTCTTTCTGATGGAGGCATAGAATTCCATTGTGTATATATACCGCACCGCATTTTCTTGATCTGTTCATCTACTGAGGGGCATCTGGGTTGGTTAAGCCATGGTAAATAATGTTAATATATGTCTGAGACAAGCAGAAATGGTCA